CAACCTTAGGTAATTTGCTATAACAGCATCTATACAATTTTGCTAATTTGGGCAGCAGTTTACAGTGAAATCCTGGCACCTTTTTTATCCATATTACTTACGTGTTAGCTTACACTCTGTGTTAGTTCTCCGTGTTAGCCTGTGAGAAGCCAGTCAGGTTCTCTAGACAGGGAAGGTCAAGACAAATGAAACACCAGATCACATTTAAGGTTTCTTCCTGCAGGATGGGTAAGCCTCACTTAAATCACTATTCTGAGACTGCAAGCACAACTATTGAGGACAGGCCAGATGCAAGCCAAGTCTAGTTCCCAAAGCACAGAGTGGATTAAAAGGTATGATTGCAGATCTAGTTAGGGAAACTTTACCATAGCTTGTAACAGATAACATAAGAATGAAAGGTATTACTAGGACAAAAGCAGAGATTTTTGCACTATAAAGCTGTCTTAGCTATCACTTAAATGTGCTATATAATAGAAGTGGCTGATCACAAAGACATGTATCAGACTAGTTAATGGACTAAGATGCATTGACAGTGGACTACATTTTATACACACACACACATATATATCTATATATCTCTCTATATATATATAAATATATATATACAGACATACAAAAATACTTAAGAATTCTATGTATATGTGTAGTGCTTCTGATTGATATTACCTGAATTATTTATGCCGTAGTCTTGCTAAGGGAAAGGACATTGTATTTGCAATTCATTAGATCTCCAGAGAAATAGGAAACACTGTTTCTGTGCTATTAAGTAAATATATAAGAGGCCAGAAAAGCAATGTAATAGCAAAAGAAAAGATGGCAGCTGAATTATAGAGCTACATCAAGCCTTACCCTGATACCACCCAAGAAGGCCTGATCATCAGTATTCAGCCCTCAGTACTGCACCTATAGCTTTAGCATTTCAGACCTAAAAAAAAAAAAAAAAAAAAGGCAAGAATTTGGCTTTTGTTCACCATGTGAAAGGGGAGTGTGTAGCTCCTCACATAGTCCCACAGGACCTGCAGAATTTAGTGAGTCACTCTATACAACCTTTCACTGGAGGAATGTTCAGGCAGCAAAAGTATTTGTGATACTAATTAAAGATTAGAAAATCCTCATTTAGGAAAATGCCCAGTGGCAGGGTATTTCAAAATAAACTAAACATATTTCTGTCCAAAGTGATGGAAAGGGCTGTATTTCTCAACTTAGTTAGAGAAAAGGGGTTTCAAAATGCATCCTGGTTGGGATGAAATAGGTTATAAAAATGAGATGTAAAGCATTTTACTTCAGTGCTAACAAGGGTCCAAGCTAAAGGACGGTCCTTTAGTCTAAGGACTGAAAAATAACAGACATCTGGATAATATAAAGTCTCATTTAATATAACAAACTATTCAAAAAATTGGGAGCCCTCTCCCTAAAACAAAACAATGAAAAATTTCACTCTTTTTGTCACAATTTAAAAAAAAAAAAAGTGAAAATGTTATAATCAATATTATGACTCAGTGGAATAAAGGCTATAGTTACAGCAGCAAATTTTACCAAAAGAAAGACTTTTAAAACTGAGACAATATTTTGAGACCATATCGTACCCAAACCTAAAACTTGGAACATTTTGAACAACTTCATTTTGTATGGAGCTTGTCAGAGTAGCAAAAAACATCAAAGGTAAATTAATAGGGCATCTGGAAAGACCTCCATAACGTACAGTTTTACTGATGACAAGTAATGCCCACAGTGTGAACTGATATTAATAAGAGTACAAAATAATGTGTTATCCCTCATGTTATATATATAACTGTTGGCTATACTTACGTTTTTTTGGAAGTACTGTTGTCATGGTTACCATTCAGCTGTCTTTATGTTTTAATATGCCCTGTTTTGTAAGGTTGAGGTTCAATTCAAGTTCATATGAAGCTAATCAACTGAAGTTTTCAGATGTGGTCTCTGATTTAATATGCATCATTTTCTAAGAGGCCAACTTGAAATACTTTTGGCATGATTTTAAGAGATGTCAGGCACCTTCAGATGCAGCAGAAGTCAATGTCCTGTATATAGTGACTGAGTTATGAATAATCTGCCAAACGGCACAGTCCATAACAGTCTTATTTTAAAAAGCTATAAACCTGTTTCAGTTGGTATAGGGAATGCTTCTGTACCCCACAGGCTGAACCTACCACCATCAGACACTAAATGAACAACGTGTCATTCTCTCAGCAGTGTTTATTTGTTTGGCTGAAGCTATAGGAATGCTTGACTGTAATGTTGTAAAATGTTACCAATTCCTATGTGTAACATCAATAATTCAATAGTTTTTGTCCATTGAAATGGAAAACTCCATTTCCCCTTTCCTATTGCAAATTGCCTCATGTTCAAATGGGGGGGGTGTGCGTGTGTGTAGGGAATGAAAGGCATTTTGCCTTTTGTAGTTCATTAAGCTTGAAGTACAGACCAAAATACCAAGACTCAACAATAAACTCAAAAACTCCTAGCCAGGGTAATTGAGGATTAGCTCAGGTAACTTTGTGTGGAGTTTACATTGTCCTCTGCAGGTATCCTCAAAGAGTCTAACTGACAGGTAAACATCCTTTTTCTTTTCTATGGAACCAGATGGACCTGCTCATCAAAGTAGCCTCTACCTTATTAGCCTTAAGAAAATCCTTTTCACCGCCTCCAACAAGCCACCTGGAACTGCAGAAGACTCCAGGAAGGGCTCTTTTCTTGCCTACCCTCTTCTTAGTTTAGCTTTAGCTGAGCAGTGTGGCAGGGAGGTGATGATCTTTTTTGTAGTGCAGTGCATAGAAGTGGAGCCTGCTCATGGGAAGAGGAAGCTTTGTGGTAAAGTTTCAGTATAGCTGAATTCCTTTTTCCAATTTAGAATTCATTTTAATATCTCCTACTTTTCTCTTTGGTATAAAAATGGGAAAGGAAAAAGGGTAGGGGAGAAGGAAAGTTCTAGATCAGTGTCTCCTTGTATTCTAAGTTCATCTCTTGCATAGTCTTTTAGTGTTTCTAGTTCTTGACTCCTGTTGTCTCAAGGGTGGACGCAGGCAACCTAGCTGCACCTACTGTGTTCCCCATGGCAGGTCTTCCTCTGGCTTCAGCACTCATATTCTCCTACAAGTATCAGAGATTCTGGTTTCTTTTTCTCTTAATTTCTGAGCTGTCAGTTTCATTGGTTTGCTTTGTTTCCTTAATGAAATGGTCCTTGGGGATATCCCTTGGCAGTGGGGTGACTCAGAAGGATCTCTCTTCAGATTGTCTCTACTCATTCACGTATCTTGCAATGCATAGGATGTGATTGTTTAAAAATTCTTGCCTTTTCCAACAGCTCCGGAAGATTTCTGAAGCACTAAGTCAAAAAGGAAAGTTTGAAGTGTAGGACACAAAATGCAGCATAAACCACAAAGAGAACCAGGTCAGTATTTGTGTTGTATGAATATATGCATGATCACACGTGTGCCTATGTTTGTATGTGTACATACGTTGTCACATGTGTTGGTGATGTCAAGAATACACATATTAAATGTTACCTTGGGCCTTAGAAAACACACTCCCACCCTCCACCTACACATTATTTATTCAATGAATTAATTAATTAATTCATTCATTCATTCATCTATCTTTTGGGGACCCATTCAGATATACAAGGCTCTGTGTGGGTGTGTGTATTTGTAATCAGAGATAATCATATTCATTTTTTATCAGACATCTCAACATTATTTTGTGATTTGATTTCACAGTGTGCATTCTTTATGGCTCTTCACCTATTTTGATACTAAATGGGCCAGTAAATGACAAGCTTTATCTCCTAAATCCCAGAGTTAATCATCATCAGAGAGCTGAAGATGAGTTGTAAGCAAATTGGACTGAAGAAGGCCTCTTTGGCCCCTGTTTCCAATTCCAGTGTGTGTTCATATGAGTGGAAAATGTTTGCTGCTAACCTCAGTGCAGAGCTTCCAGTTCACTGCACAAGTGATACACTTCCATACACTTGATGATGTGGGCTGTGATCTATGGAACGAGGAAGAGAGCTCTGAGATGAACTCCAGATGCACCTATTTATTATGCTATGGGCTCTGGAGGCCTGGAACCATGCAAAATAGCATTTCAAAAGTCACCTTCTAGGTCATAGCATGAGATGGTAGCGATAACATCTCTAAACAGGCTGCCTTTGCAGAGAAAGGGTCACCTGCTTTTGCACCATGTTAAACACTGAACTGATCAAGAGACTGCCTGGCATTGCAGGGTAAACCGCCTTCTCTAGTGAGTAAGTTTACAGTATAGATACGTGAGAATATTTTTATCACGAGCCCATACTTTTAAAGAGGTTATTAGCAAAGCACCAGCAGGGGGCCAGAAAAATGAAGACTACTTTTTGATTTGTTCATTACAATCAATTATTTAAAGCCTAACTGATCAAACTCTTCACTTAAAAAAAATTAGTCCCTATTCTGCCTGCTTGATGTTAAATGGTAAAACAGCACAGGAGTGAAAATACCCTGGAGCCTTAGATCATCTTCATTATCTTCACTGGTGAAGTGAGTGAGTGAGTGGAGAGGTGTGAAATTCCAGCAGAGAGGAACATGCTGTTTTAAGAGGAAGTGCTGACATGCAGGCTACAATTAGACAAAAAATGACTGCTGACATTTAAAAATCATTACAGAGAGGAAATTGTGAGTGTAATTATGTCATCATTGACACTGTTCAAGTGTGCTGATGCGTTTTTGCTGATCAAAATCAAGTGTTTATATTTGTAAATAGAATGCACTTAGCAACTCTACCAATGGAAATGTTGTAGCCAAGAACTAAGGAAAACGGAACCAAGTCACTTTGACAAAAAGTTCTTTTTCCCTTTTTGTTGATTTTCAGTATTTTGATTTGAGGATTGTTTCTTGCTAACAAAATTGTTTCTTGTTATTTAGTATTTTGGATGACTGTTTGATTGGGTTTTGTTTGTAGGGTTTTTTTCATAGAACAAGAAGAATGGCCATTCTGGAGTAAGCCAAAGGTTGGTTTTGCCAGTATGGATCCTACATCCAACAGTGACCAACAGTAGATGCCTACAGAAGGATATGAGACCAGTAAGTATATGATGATATTAGGTACACCAGTCTCCCAGCTTGCAAAACCTGCTGCTCAGGGACTTTATAGACTGCTCAAAAACCTCAGAATAATGAAGTCTTTCTGACTGGCTTTAAAAATAGTCTGATATTGGAGTCAGTGCAAAGGGAGTCATGATGTCTGCAGGTGGCAAAATATGTAAATGTTATCATTTACTTGGAGGAGTTTGTTGACTGTGCTAATACTGAATTCTTGGCACTGCATTATTTAACACAGTTCTGCTTTAATCCCTGTCGTAAGTCCTTTACCTATGACATATTATCACTCAATGACACGGAGAAGTGGCCAATCTGTGATACATACAAATGCTCAATTCAGAATGGATAAAATATGTGAAAGGGTGTTTCTGGCTGATTCCAAAATCAGATTTTTTTATCTTGGAGATTTTGGAGATTATATATAAATACACTTTATAAATGTGAAAGCAGAAGTATTTATAAAGGCACTTGAGGGAGGTAAGAAAAGGTCTTGGCTTCCATAATGAAATGTCCACAACAGAAAATGTCTACAAATGCTAGTCCTCCTGAGGATGGCATTCTGGAAAAAGTTTATGATAGAAATTAAGAAAAAGACTGAAAGTGTGAACAAGATAAAGGATGCTTAACAGTGAGGTACTCCACATTATCAACACAGTTATTCTTGAAAGCTGTGACAGAAACAGAAATATGAATATTGAATGTCAACTATTCAGGTTAAAGCTAACTACTCCTCACCCTGCATCTAGTGAGCTCTGAAATTCCCCTTGGTATCTCCTTGTTATTTTTTAAGAAAGAAATATAAAAATTGCTTTGGTTTTGCCTTTTCATTTTCTGAGGCTTCTGTTTATTGAGTTTGCCCTTTGGGAAAGGGGATTTTTACAATCCACCTATTAATTTTCTGGATGTCCTCCTGCAGCCAGTTTTTCTTCTTTTGACATTGGGTCCATCAGTTTCCATCAGTGTCCCTGTTTCCTGGATGTCAAAACATACATCCAGTCAAATTGTGTTACCAGAATAATGTCAAGCAACTCTATAGGCACTGCATCAGCCAAAGAACTGCTTTCATAATGTCATATTATGATTGGATGAATACTGTAATTCAGTTTTAGAGCGGTAAGAATTTCCATGTCAAAACACAGAATTCTTTATGCCATTAAAATAGTAGAAATCAGTAGTTAGGGAACAACTTATGGTGGCTGTCTTGGGAGAGACCAGTCCCACAGGTATTTTGGATGACAGCTTACTGCAACAGGGAATATGAAAGAACCCATGAAAGTGGGACACAGAAACAGGTAATAAGGCTTTACTAGTATATAAAAATATGATGCAAAGAATAGTATTAAGTTACTGTATTTTATATTATAACATTTACTTATAAGGCTGTTTTGATCTTTATCTCCCTTTTCACTAATTCATACCTTTCTAGATTTATTTTCTCTTTGGAATCAGAGTTTTCCATATGTTTTGAAAGTTTAGTGGAAAACTTATTTAATTACTGCTTGCAACAAGCTAAAGAAAAACCATTTTTCCTGTTCTCTGCTTGGTTTTGAAAGACAGAAGTTGAAAAACTTCATCTTTCTCTGCATAGTAAACTGGTGTCACATACTTACTCTTTTTAAACACGTCATTCCAGAACAGCTGAACTTTGAAACATGGCAAATGCTAATAATTATTTTTTTTTTTTTAGTAATCTATCTCCACGTGTATTTGAAAGACATTACTTTGTCTGAAATGTTATTAAAGACAAGACTGACAGGGTAGTGCTGAGTATCAGGAATGTCAAGTAGTTAAAGTCCCATTCCAACCAAAGGGAGGTAAACACAAATCAGTACCAATGGACAGCCCTGTATAGTCTACCCAAATGTGAGGAATTCAGCACCAGTTCAAAATCTGACCCTGAAAACAGAATTGGAAAGAGGCTGTGAGAGGTCCTCAGCAGTCACATCTACATTTTGTATTTGCTTTTAGCTTAATGACGATAGTGTTTTAAGGGAGATTTTTTTAATTATTTTTATTTTTTAAGACCATGATGGGCATTCCACAACTCCCCTGATAAAATATATCCATCTTCACTTCTGTAGACCTTTACCTAAAGTCTAACCTGAATTTTCCTTGATACTACCTCTCTGAATACCTACCATGCAGTTCTTTCTGCAGGATGAATCTTTAAGTCTTTGAGGTTAGCCACTAAGAAAAAGCTTCTAGACTCTGTAACTCAGCAGTCTCCATTTTCTTTCCTTCACTTGACAAGAACAAGTGGTGTCACTCTCAGAGTATTGCTGGGTGCTTTGTATGAGGTAGAACAAAAAAAACACTTCCCCAAATGAAACACTGCATCAGCACTGAAATTAGAAAAAAAAAGTGTAAGCAATAAAAAAATGCAAGTCCTTGGAGACTGGAGGGTGTCTCCTTATATTGTCTGCATTCCACAATATTCTGTATAGTTTATGCTTTCATTGCAAAACAATTTGTCAGTCTCTTATTTGCCAAGACATTGTCAATGTAATGTAATGCAAGTCATGAGCTGCTGCTCCAATAAGTCAATCCTGTAAGCTGTCTCCATTTAAGCATAAAGGCCTCTTTCAACAACAAAAATTAAAAAAAAAAAAACTTATTTTGCCAGTCTTTCCTTAGACCACTCACCACAGTGAGGTGTGGTGTAACTTCAGAAGTTACACGAAGATGAGTAAATTCTAACATCAAAAGACACTTGCAGTATTGTTTTCTTGCATTGTATATTATTAACAAACCCAGTGAAAATAGCAAGTGTAGTAACAGTGTTCAGAAGAGTGATTCTACTGAAGGACTTTGGGTATAGCAGTAGGAGAGACTACGTAGTAGTTATGGTAATCAATGCAATTTCATATCGGTTTGTTTTAGCAACATGGAATGATCTACCCTGTCAGCTTTCAGACAGGGACCAAATTTTAAGCCCTTTAATCTCCATTGTGAATAATTATTTATCCAGATTGTCTTTTCTCATCACTATACCAAGGTAGGGGATTTACTACACACCTGACCAAGATAGTATAATCATTAAAACAATGGAGCTCTACTTCTTGATGCTACTCCTATATAAATGTTAAAAAATAGTAACAGAAAAGGGTGTTGCCTGATTTTAATAAAACATATTGTAATAAGAATAATTATTCCTTGATCCATTCCAGTTTGAAAGACTTCAGCTGAGCCTGCAACTAAATTACTCTGTCTTAACTGAGACTATAGTAATCAGTCTCAAAACCTGTTAAATCTTTCAATTCCATGAATATAATATGCTGTTTCTGATGTACAATGAATTAAATGAATGTATGACCAAGGTGTAGATAAAAACATGCAGCAGCAAGTCTGTGGGCCATGCTGGATAAAATAAGAACAATTTAGAATGGAATAATATGATTTATCAACTAAGGTTTTTCAGCTATAAAAACCTCATTCTCTTCTGCCACAGCCAAGTACAACCAAAAAGAAGATTAGGAAATCTGAAAATGTGGGAGCAGAATAACAATCCAGCAAAGAAAGGTAAGAAAGCAAAAAGATAAGATACTATCCAAATTTGATTATTGAAACATTTTTGCTTCTGAAAATACTAATTAGCACTTTTTACTCAGGTTTCATTAGTTAAATTTCAATTGTTATACGTGTGAAATAAATTATGCAACCTGTAAATCTTAATTACATTGCTAATTGGGATAATTTTATGATCATTTTGTGATGCCTCAAATTAGTGAAACATGTTTTTCTATTTTAGAGTTGATCAGAGCTGGTGACACTTCGAATATAATGCACTGCTGGTACATTTTAATAGAATTGGAATAATAAATTATCTTTTGATTACTGAGTTTTAAACACTAGTATCCACAAAGCAAAAAATACGGCAGTATTTGGATGTAAGATGATTTTAATACTTCATGCATCAGTAGCTTCTGGTTAAACAATTGGTATTAATTATGCAAGCGTGAATCATTCATACACCAGGGTTTTATGTCCATCACAACAGTGAGGCAGGTTTAGATTTAGACACAGATGCAGTTGGCAGAAGCAGCACTTGTAGTGAAACAGATCAGGAGGCTTGGATGTTTTAATGCTAGACCATTTGTAAACCTGATAGGTTTACCATGCTCAGATAATGTATTGTTTATAGACATTAAGACACTGTATCGGTTTATGCCAGCTAAATGTCTGTCTTCTCTTAGCATCATTTCATCCTCTTTGCTTTTAATTAAATGTTGAAAGCAGACACTGGCATCCCTGGTGAAAGTAGTCCTACCAGAGGGACTGAAAGAATGTAAATCAGCCATATGACAAGGTACTGGGCACTAGTAAGGCTTTAGCTTAAGTATCAGGTCCAATGATGAGCACATGACTTCCAGAAAGTTGTTAAGTGACAGGAGAGAGTGCTATTAGATAAGAACTCTGAGAACCAAAAATCTAGAAAATACAACCTTAAAGGTAAGATTGAATAATTAGAGATAATTAGTGTTTAGAAGAGATGACTGGGATAACAGTCTGTATACACAGAAAGAGCTGGTATAAAGAGCTTATCTTAGCAGATAAGAAGGAAAGTGAGAACGACTTAATTGGCAGCAAGAAGGACTCATACTGGACATTCGGAAAAGCTTTCTAATGCTAAGAATCAGCCTCAGACACAGCTTGCTTTTTGGGAAGCTATGGAGGTGCTCTGACACAGAGGTTTTAAGAAGAGGCTGTACTAATGTCAATCAGAAATGAAGCAGAAGTGGCTGGGCCTCTGCTGGGGCAGTCCTTAAATGACTTTTTATGTCCTCAGCATCTTAAGCTTTCTAGGATGCAGAAAGTGCTCCAAACTCCTGCTAATCTAGAAGTTCTTCAAAGAACTGGCATTCAGTAATTCCCTGCTGCTCTGCACCCCAGAAGAGGTGGTAGTTCTGTTGGCAAAATACACAGCTCCCTAATGAGTATGCTGCATTGAGGCACTTGCCTGGTCAGTGTGCTGCTGCCACTGAGCTGATACCTATGCCCAGCGTACAGCTCTGGATTATATTTTTAAGTAAGGCTGTAGTACTGACCTTTTAAACACCTAAATCCTAATTATACTTAGACCTTACCCATGATGCATGAGCCAAAATTTGCAAATACCAAAAGTTATTTTTCTATTGGCTTCAGTGATATCTTCAATAAAAACTGAAGTATTTCACAACTGACAGGTGTGAGAAAGCTGGACTGCCCTCTCCTCACAGAAAGCTAACTCACAAGTGATTCCACACAAAGATATGCGCTCAGACTGAGGTAAAGCTGGTGTAGGTGAATGATCTTCACTAGAACCTATTTGCTGCTGTAAAGGAGTAGGACACTGCAGATCTTTTGCAGCTGGTTGTCTTTAAAGTTTTCATTGTGCTCTTCAGATATGCCACTCCACAAAGCAAAGTTCACATTTTGCTGCAGTGTGATCCTGGCAGCTGATTCATGTACTGTGCCTTGTGTCTATTTTTAAGACCAGGCTCTTCCCTAGCCTGCCTTACAACACCAAGCCAAATTCCCTTTAGAGCTACATTAAAATGGTGCTACCTCTTGGGCTACTGGGTTTAGCAAGTAAGTGAAATCAAAAATGACCCCCAAAAAGGCAAAGACAAATTAATTAGTCTCAGAATCAAAACTGTCTTTGTTTTTTCTATCTGCATTTAATTCATTATTTGAAAAGACAAAGATATGGGGAACAAAGTTCATAGATGGTGTAAACAATTCCCTGACATCAATCTTTTTTCTTCTTTAAGAGAATGCCTAGCTTCTTGCTGAGTAGAACTCTAGAGCTGATCACAGGAGAAATCCACCAACATACTCTTGTTATTGGTTGGATGATACAGTGCTTTATTTCACTGCAACTGAACATCTCAGCCTCTTTTCAGTAGTCACTGTGTACATGAGGTATTATAAAAGCTTTTCAAATCATCGTAGGATATGTAGGAATATGCCATGAGTGTACTTGTAAGTAAAATGAAAAAATATTCTGGTTTGATTTTGGAAGGTTGACCACAAGTCCTGCAGCTGAAGTTTTCAAAATATGCTTTCAAAATAAAAATTCCTCACTACTTGAAAGAGTAAAGAGCCAAAGCAGCTTTGAGCTTCACTTTGCTCTTCACTTGCAATAGTTATCTGACCCAACCTCACACCTCCCAGCCTCTAACAGGTCACCACAGCATAGTGTTACATGCTGTAACCTTGCCCTACCATTCACGCTTAATGTGGTCACGGCTTGATTTCTTAGGGTGTGTGGGACTCCTGGCCAAATTTCATTTCAAACAGGGGGAAAAGCCTAACAAACTGAACATTTCCAGTGCGAGCAAGGGAAGACGGAGTTGCTTTTTACTTCAAAAAAAGACAGATAGATAGATAGATAGATAGATAGATAGATAGATAGATAGATAGATACACACATATACACACACATAATGTGTGTATATATAGACACACTCATATACATGAGTGTATAATGTCTTGCTAGGTGAAGCCTTCTTTATATTGCATTTAAGAGTTACAGTGTTCTGAGAGAAAAGCAACCAGTCCCCTTGTCAGAGAGCTGCAACTCAGCCAGTCAGTTCAGTATGAGAATGCCAAGTGAGCCATTTGAGACGTGTGATCTTTCAGCTGCACAGCATCCCATTCATCATATGCTTCAGAAATGTAATATGTAAAGCTGGAAAAAACAGAAGCTGCAGAGGCAAGAAAAATCAATTAGCGGGAAAGCCCATATATGAAAAAAGGCCTGCACAGAATCACCACGTTCCCATTTTCAATTTCCTAAAGTTACCTCCTCCCTGTTTTTGGAACACACTCTCTATATCAGGATGAGAGGATAGGAGTCTTCTACTCTCCTAATTAGGCACTGATAATTTAACATAACATTACAGCACCTAAAGTATACAAGGTAGCACTAAGCACAAAACTGGCTTTATATCCTTTTCTCCACACCCCTGCCCCACCAAAAATTTCAGATATGGCAAGCCTCAGTGTTAGGAAAGTGGCTGTTATAGTTTGCACATAGTTTCCATCCTGGAAGAAGGCGCACCCAACAGAATTTAAACAATGCACACTGCAATCTCAGTTACAGTGGCATAAATTAGGATCAATTCCACTGAGGTCAGAACAGTTATATCAGTGTGAGACATATGAGGATTGAGCCCGATTAACTGCAGTAGAGTTAAATCTCATCTACTCTCCCATAAGTCAAAGAAGAATCTGGCCTCTAGCTTTTAGTTGGATCCTGTCCACATAGTGGGACAAATCTAGCTTTGAATTTCAAGAGAATAAATGTGGAGATACTGATTTTGTTAGAGCTATTCCCAATTACAGTAATGCAAATTTTGGCCCAGAGGCTACTTAGAGTCCAGGCACCAAGCAGTGGCCAGCAGTTGAGGTCCCATCACACTGTGGCCTATGAAGACTAGGACATTTCAGAGTGCAGACTGCAAAATCTGGGGCACCACAGTTTGGACCTATGTTTGATCACAATTATTTCTCACATGGAGGAAGGCAGCAATTCCAGAAATAAAGTGGACATGTGGAATGTACTTACCTACCTAGTTCCTCTCCCACCCCCAGAAATATTTTTTGACTTGTTAACTACTGGAACCTGATCCTCATGTAATACAGGAAATGTATGATGGTGATACCAATGACCTTAGTAAAGTGCAAGCTGTGAATAGCCCCGGTGAAGCTGAGCAGCCAGAAAAGACAAAAATGTTGGTATGCCAGCTGTTTACTTCTAATGCAGGTGAATGGCTTTTAGAAATATTTAAACCAGTTGGACTATACTCAACCCAATCTTCATTAATGGGAAAAAGAATGAAGAAAGGCAATAAAACATAAGTGCATTAACCACATATACTACCACAACCAGCAAAGCTTCTTCCTTCAATGGAAGGAGCAGTGATATAGGCAGTGGCAGAAAGGCAGAGCTCAACAAAAGGTTACTGAAATACTGGTGCAAGCCATGTGATTTAAATGGACACTCTAGGAGGAGGAAGACTGTCCTGTTTGATGGAATGGAGGAAGCAGCACCAGCTCAGGGTGCTGGGATCTGTCTGCAACCTCTTCTCCCAGATGGGTGAAGGCTGCCTCCTTCCTGCGGCAGCTCCGCGCAGCTGGGTGCTCTCCGTTAGGGTACTAATTATAAGGTGCATGAGAGATGTGTAGCTCTATACGATCAATTCCCTATTAAGCATGCTTTCCCATTATTTAAGGTTGAACTGATGCAGCTTAATGAATCACTGCTTTCTGACAAATACCACACAAATGAATTTCAGAGGGAGTGTGACTCTTCCTGAATTTGAATGGAATTTAGCAAATAGTCCCAGATGAAACAATGCAGAGAAAAAAATGTCAAAACACTTCATTTTAGTATTTTCAAAATGGAGTGTTTCATTCTAGAACTGCCAAAACACTTCCAAAAACTTTCAAAACAAAGCTTTTTTGCTGTCCATTTTAGAATTGGCCTAAATTTCAAAAGAAAAAAAGCTTTAAAATGTGTGAAACAGCCCAAGACT